GCATCCTTGATAGGCTGCGTGACCACCTCAGTTCACGCCCCACCACCATGACTCGTGGCTATATGATGTCACTAGCTCGCATGCTTACAGGCAGTTGGCACGATAATTTGGTACACGGCCTAAAATGCTGGCAGGGCACTATATAGTGGGAAAATGGCGAAAAACGAAGTGAAACGGTCAAAAACCTGCGAAGAAAAGCCTTCGTTCTCAATGACTCAAAAAGCAATTTTGGACGAGTTTTCCGTAGGCATCTTGCCAATAACCGCTACGGTAATACGGCTGCACGTATGTACTCATATATCCATGCAGCACCGCAGCCGCTTCATACCACCCTTCGCTTCATATTTTACTTAGGAAATGAAGCAAAACCAGCATCAGAAGTTTTTTTTTAGAAAACTAGCGTCGAGGGGGGAGGAGTAGGGGACGATGTCATCAATCAGCCACCAAAATCAATTGCTATGGATAGTATCTGTATATACCATTTTCACTTCAAATCGGACACTTTTCAAACCAAATCGGACACTTTTCAAACAAATCGGACACTTTTCAAATCAAATCGGACACACCCCTTACAATGGGCAGTTGAGAACTAGACCACACTAGGTACTGCTGCAAGCCCCGCCCCAACACCCCCGCCCACTTCTTAGCGCGGCCGTGGTTTTCCAAATGTTTTATGAATTCTGCTTCTTCAAATTTTTTTTCACTTTTGCTACTTGACACACACATTTAACTGAATAGGTTTGCTACCGACACATATATGACTCCGCCCACTTCACAATCAAGTGACGTAAGTTCTGAATTTTTATAACTTTTTTCGACGTCGTTTTTTCACATTCAATCTTCACAAAACGAATATAGCCATGCATTTACACACTAGCACACTAGCCCCGCCCCTCTGACCACGCCCACTTTCGTTTTTCGCGGAATTTTGATTTTCTTCCGAATTTTCACTTTTTTAGGCTGTGACAAGCGGCCCCGCCCACTAATGGAAGCTCCGCCCACTTTGTAGAAGCCCCGCCCACTTTTCAAAAATGTATGCAAATCGGCGAGCTGCAGGTTATGGTCTCTCCCGTCACCCATAACAACGTTTCTCTTTTTTTCTGGTCTTCCCCTTTTTTTCATTCTATGTGGCGAGGCTTCTAAAAAGTGGGTGGAGCTGCCATTAGTGGCCGCTTGTCATAGCCTAAAAAGTGAAAATTCGGAAGAAAAATCAAAATTCCGCGGAAAAACGGAAGTGGGCGTGGTCGGAGAGGTGGAGATCAGTGTTCCAGTGTGTGAATGCATGACTATGCTTCCGTTTGCGAAGAATGAACGTGAAAAAAAACTACTATCCGCAAAGAATTATAAAAGTCAGAAGCCTATTCGCTTGAAATTGTGAAAGTGGGGCGGAGTCATATATGGTGTCGGTAAGCAAAAACTTCTCAGTTGTAATCGTGTGTGGATAAGAAGCAAAATGTGAAAAATAAAACATTTGGAAAACCACGGCCGCGCTAAGAAGTGGGCGAACTGCTGGGGCGGGGCTGGGTGTGTCCGATTTGATTTGAAAAGTGTCCGTTTTGGTTCGAAAAGTGCACGCTTTGTAGCGAAAATGGTATATCGTGCCAATGCCTCTAAAAGTGTTCCACCCAAAACCGAATGTGACCTCGCCCCTTGTACCACGATGCGATTTCTCCGTCACAATAGATCCCGTAAGAAGGAAAAGCATCAGACAACCTCGGAGAACACCCCTAACGAACAGCGGGGCACCTTGAGTTGGATATACCATCTCCAAGAGACGGAGGGGGGGGGGGAGGGTAGGCGGTTCGACAACGATAGTTGGTGGCTCCGCAGAACAGTACTAATTCTAATGGTTGGAATCAGTTCATTGGTGACGACTTCTCTCCCCCCCCCCTCCCCCCCTACCCCACTTGACGGCAAATCTCTTTTTTGGGAAAACTCAGAAAAAATCCTCGGGAGTTGAATCAGATGGGGAGAAGCCGCTTTTGTTGCGACTCCTGTGACCATCGAATCAGCAAAGTCTGCAAGAGTGATCGACATCCAAGTGAAAATTGTAGACGCAGTTCGGCTTTCGGCTGGTGGGGGCATGTTGCTCAACCATCGATCACTGCTGCTACCTCCCGTGGGGATCAGTAAGTTGCTGTAACGCTCTGCAGTAAAAGGAGAATCATTTATAAGTTACGAAAGTCTACAAGTCCCGTAAGGTGTGCGGCGTAAGGAACCATCGCCGTGTACCTGCGAAAGCGCAAAATGCTCCTTCAATGCCCAAAAGCGTCAAATTATGCCATTTGCTATGCATTTTCGCTAGCACATACTAGTGTAACTCTTGAGCAAGATAAACACTTCACATCAGCGACACAAAGAAAATGGCACTAAGAAAGATATTGAGCCTAGAATGTGCAGTACATGACTCCATTGGCCCGAAGGCACACCACACTATTGTAAAATAGGTAGTGGGCTTAGACTGGAGCCTGCGGGCGCTAAGGGGCCTGCCGGAGAAGAAAATAACTAGGGAACCGTTAATATCCCCAATAAAGCCCTATTTTCTGCGGTCGATTTTCAGCAACATTCGAGCACAGGCGAAGAAACAGAGCGCCTGAATGAGAAAGCAGATGTGAAAGAAGAGAGAGTACACAGAGGAAGGATACCGCAACTCTCCATGAGGCCATTGAAGTCACTGGGTATATGTCCGGCTCTAAATGCACCACCTAATAGTTATAAGAGCAGAATGGTACAGCGTCTGCAATTGCAGAATTGGCTAGCTCATGCCCAAAATAGATCTCTGCACTGCGTTTGTCGTGAAGTGTGCCTGTTACTGCAGTAATAAAGGAGTTATCAAAGAAGAAATAAATGGAAAACTTACGGTTCTGGCTCTGGGCCGATGAGTATCAGGTTCAGATGTAAACCGAAACATCTTGAGCTACAAGTGCGGTTGCGCGGTCGATAGGCAGTCTCCAAGAGGTAGGCACGCATCGAACGACTGGTAGATCGCCATGATTGTTAAGGATGATCTGCACTGAGGGCAGCAGGCTTTGGCATCGCGATGGGACGAATGGCGGTATCAGACGACTCCTCGCTGTCCTCCTCCTCTCTCCCCAACCTTCTTCTTTCGGTACGACCACCTCCCCCCCCCCTACCTTTCACACCTCTATATCCCGAAATCGTGGTGAAGAAAAATTACTCACTTTTCCTCGGTTTTCCAGTAGCTCCCTCGTTTTTCCTCAGAAAACTGTCGCTGAGGGGGAGGAAGAGGAATCTTCACCGAACAACTACTGGTTTCAACTATCAAAAATAGTATTTGTATAGGATTTGACGGAGATGTCAGCTATAGGGGGGGGGGTCGTGGTGAAGGAGGGGTTGGTTATGTGTGGGGATAAATCACATCCATGAGGTGAAACGAGAACTTTCTTCTCAAGTATACTAGATATGGCCCCGTCAATCGAAAACGACACGACCCCCCTCCTCACCTTCCCATCCCCAACGATCAAGTTGTCGTACCCTGAGTGCACTCTCCATCGATCACTCAATATCCACTCGATTCGTCCTCTTACAACTTTCTTTTCTCCCACAATGCCGCTTCTTCTGTGAACTATAGTAATTTTGGTGATCCTCACTAGCTCCTCCAAAGAAAAAAGAGCTATCAAACTAACAACAGATTGTTCAGGTTTTCAACTAAATTTCTGTTCAGAAAGAATTGCGAGCCCTGATACCGGCTCCTCCATCTCAACTTTTGGAAAAGGCTAGCGAATCGACCAGCGCTCTCCTGAAACTACTTGATCGAGCACGAGTAATAAAGCGTGAGAGAGAAGACGTCGTCAAGGTAAGTCAATTGAGAATCCGAAAAGTGGAGCAAACGATAGAGCGGTGGCTGAACGGGCCGCCGCGTTTAGTCGTGGAATCAAGTTTCACCCATTACAGGCAAATCTTTTATCCCTATGGAGCCACAGCTGATAATCTCGAGAGGGGCAAGGCTGCGCGGGAGGAGGAAAGTAGGATCTACCTCGTGTGAAAATGGGATTTTCGTCATGCAAAACCTTTTTGCTCGGATGTAAAACCTTTTTTGCTCAGATAAAGAGACTCCTGAGCTTTTTCCCTAATCCCAGGTATAGGCAGAAGTCGTTCACCTTCGCCTCTGAATCTTCTGAAGCCACCCCCCCCCGCCCCTGCACCATATCCGGTACCGTCCTAGGGAAAGCTATCGAGCCGCATCAGTATTCTCGATCGAGTTAGCTTGTGGAGATATGTAGTTATGATTCAAATGCCTCTACGTTATTGGGAGGAGGTGGGAGTGGATTGAGCAATAAGTGGCTTACCTTCCCGTGGCCTATTGATGGCCTTTCTGGACAAAGTCCGGAATTTTGGCCTGCTAATATTTCCCGGCTCCCCCAGCATCGAGAACCTCGTTTCCTTCCCCAAAAGGCTCAACTGTTCAGCGCCAAAAAAAGGGACGTACAACCTAGCTTTGCCACGTGAATCCCGCTAACCCTAGTGGACCCTCCTAAATGACTAGTGATTAAGGAAATTCAAGCCAAAATAGCATCTCCCATTACCGATGATGTGAAAGCAGAAATGAATGATTTTCTGGGCATCGACGACGACGACTACATCACAGAGCACGTAGAAAAGGTAAAGTCATTCATAATAAACGAAATGTAATCTTAATAGAAACCTTCAATAAAACCGATCGCCTCACCATAATGGCGCCTAGTGAACGTGCTGACTATGGGGATAGCTTTTTGCACGCAGAGAATACTGCGAAGTATGACAGGAGTCTGAACCGAACTGCGGCGCAGTTCGGCGACAGGGGGCATTTTGCACTTTCATTGCTTCACTAGTTCCGGTTTACAAGTCTCACTCTGGTGAAACCTGTGAACTCTTGTGAAGCTGGAGCAAGCTCGTCAAGCCATCATGGTAAAACCTGTCAACTCGAGAAGAGGATGGGTCGACACGTCGATGGGAAGTAGCAAAAGTGCAAAATGCCCCCCCCCCCCATCGCCGACAGCGCCCAAAACTGCAGTGTAAGAACGGTGGACTATGATGCGTACTATAGTGTATATACAAAAATAGCCATACAAGCGTGACGCTGCCGTGAAATTCCCCTTCACCCCAAGAATACATGAGCTCCCAAAGATTCCTTAGTTTCCTTTTGTCAATAGTGCACTTCAGAACTGCCAACCTGTACAAGAGTTGGTTACTGGAAGTATTAAGAAGCAAGAATATTTGTTACGTGATATCGAAGTAGGTTTTCTTTGATATTTTGCGGACCCCGCTGGAGATGCAGGCGCAACACCTACGGACGGGCTCAGGTACTCAGCCACTTACAGACCCTCCACATATCCACTATTCGCCTCAGTGGTTGGTCGGTCGGAGCTCGGTCCGGAGTGTCCCGTCCACATCGCCAACGCCACCTTTTGATTAAATTTTGCTGTTTATGAGCAGAGTTGTAATTTATTCCGTTTAGAATTGGAGTGCTCGTTTTTCTATCGGAAATAATTCGGAAAGTACATCTCAACGAGGGCAAGTGCTCCGCTCCTTGCAACTCGGTTATGACGCCTTCAGAGAGATTCACAGAAAGCTCGACGAGAAAATGAAGGTCGAGGGTTTTCGAATTTCTTTTCAGAAGTTTCCACACCTTTCTCCTTGGACATACATAAGTTGATATCGGGTGATCCAGCAGACCGCAGTCAGGAGGCGTGGGAGGGGCTCAAACGGCTTTTTTTTACAGTGTTCTAGCTGAACCGGCCCCTATTGGTTGAAAACGCAGCGCGCTTGGGCTCATTCCACACCCATGAAACCGTCCCGTCTTATTGCGACGATATCAACTGCATAGTGAAAAGGAGGGCAAGTAAAAGTCTAGCAGCCCTACTAACCGGCACTTTCCAGGCCGTTTGTCCATCCTGTCAGTCCTTTATTCTTGGGATTGCTGTGTAACTGTCAGCCTTGAGCACAACCTACCCTCAGCGCGGTTGTTCATGCATGACAGTGCCCCTATTTGGTTGGACTAGAGAACTCTAGAAACGGTGACGAAGGCAATATTCAAGAGGGCTTGGCACTTCCTTGAACTTATCTATGGAAGATTAACGAGTGGAATGGGCCGTGACTGTGCACGCGAAAGAAACACCGACGAAACATCTCAGTGAGAGGCAATACTTCAAGTGATTTGGTAGATAGTTGACCGAGCTAAAGCCGGCTATCTAGAGCATCTTTCGCGCTTTTCACTGTTCCCATCCTCTGAGGGACCTGTAATGCGATGCGGGTAGAGTGCTAATCCCTCTAGGCGCACACCGTAAACTCTGGGAACGCTGGGAAGGATGTACGCAGTTTCCTTTGAAAAACACCAAAACTGTCCAACACATGAGTGAAGTTTTCCCTAAGAAAATCCAGCTTCTGTGATGGAACCATTTGACAATTACTAACGGCATGTCGAGAAGGCGTGGTCTGAATTTGATACCGGAGTGACGTGTTTGAGCGAGCAAAGGGGATGCGAAATACAATAATAAACCACTGGAGGAGCTAAAAGGCACCCCCTACACAACGCTGTAGCGCACTATCGAGGACAAAAGTGGTGGGTGGGCACATCATGCAAACCTGTGCTAAGCTGGTACTTGCTGTGACTATTTTAACCCGTTATCCTTTACCTTCGAGAGGATTTAAGATGTCAAGACAACGTCAGGATGGTGCTTCCTATTTTTCCAGGTCTACAGTAATCAAACTGCAACACTTCGACGTCTTCAAGTGAAAGTGAACGACTTCGCCTTTGCACGCCTAACAGAAAAAGAAGAACTGCTTCGAGGACGTCAAATTTTCGACTCATCCCGAAGAGGTATCGATTTTTCGCACGATCACGCCATCGGATTTGAGCTCTTCCAAAAAACCGTTAATTCATGCTGCGGCGTGGAACGAGGCATTAGAGATAGTTTTCTATAGTAAAAAGACGATTTTCAGGACCAGAACCTCCACTACTCACATCAACGTCATCGGCGCAATCTCAAACATTGAACTCGGTAACTGCCCCTCTCTATCCCACTCCGACATTCGTACAAGGTTCGTTGATACATTTTTCGGCGCTGCTCGGCGACGGGGGGCAGGAGGGAGAAGGGGGTTGAGCATTTAGCATTTTTACCGCTGCGCTAGTTGCGGTTTTCAGGTTTCACTCTGGTAAAAGCCTGTGAACTCTTGTTAAGCTAGAGTAGGCTCGTCGAGCTACCATGATAAAACCTGTCAACCCAGCTCATGAAATAGCTCTCTGATTAGTAGCAAAGTGCAAGATGCCCCCCCCCCCCTCGTCGCCGAACTGCGCCCATTTTTTCATATATTCCCTCGCCAAGGATTGTTTCTAAGGTGCTGCTTACACAAATGTCATGACCCCCACGCCTCCGCCATCTGCGCAATCGCAGTTCCCCTATCCACAATATCCTTATTACGGTAAGGTTTTCAGAATTTTACACTCCATATCCCTGAGATGGGGCAGGCGTGGATGTGCACTTCCATTGAAAACGGGGCGCAGCCACGTCCCCTCACCCCTCGATATGGGGAATACATTTTCAAGTATTGGAAAAACGAATATTCCTACTCAAATGAATCATTTCCAGGAGCAGCGCAAGCGAATGTACAGCCATCGTACAACTACAGTATGCCGTCAACAGCAACTACCCAAAATCCTCAACTTCCCCCTGGAAATCGTCTTTCATACCCTTCCACTTCATGGCACCCTTACTAGATTAATCCGTGAATTAATTGGAGAAAAAGAAAAAGCCTTTTGCTTACTCGTATTTTCTGCGACGAAGAAATTACTAGGGAGGGCTAAAAGTTCACGTTCACCACTAAAACCAACTTCAATTCAATCGATTTTTCAACGTTCACGAATACTTTCGGAATTTGTGACAAAACGATCGATTTAAATAAATGGTGCATCACAAAACAGAGGAGAAGTGCAATATACCCACGAAAAAAAAGTGCCACGAAAAAAAACGGAGTGCCAATGACTGCTCACCTTTTTGGGTTGCGCCATGTACCTGACTTCTGTTAGGAATTTCAAGAGTAGTTAGATTCGTATGCAGTGCGCACAGCGACTTGCAAAAGCAAGTGCCTTGAGGACACTCCCCGCGATCAAGTGGTCCTCAAAATGACTCCGTGCCTTTTGAACTGTTATACGCGTTCACAAAGAACATACCACTTTCGTCCCTCAAAACGGCGCGATAAAGAAGTTAGAGACATTTGCGCGTGGCAACAGTGGCGACATCATACTGTAGCGAAGCAACGGCTCGCGAGCAGCTTCTATCCCTACAACACCCGCGCGGCACGTGTCGCGCGCGGCGCTTCTGGCACTTTGCCATCTTCGGTGATCCGCGCTTTCCATAGCGATTAAGCGCAAACCTCGCACCGTTGGACATAAATTGAAGACGCTTAGGCTGTTTTAGGGTTCCATATGGTTCTTTGCAAGCGCGATTCTAATCAAGAGACTGAGAACAAAGAACAGCAGACCTTTTCTTGAATTTCATACCCGTTACCAGACGATCAATTTCCAAACACGAATATCGCATCGCTTGGCCAGGAATTGCCTGGCACTAACGCCACGGTCCCACGGCTCAAGCTTTGCGCTCCAATCGCTATGGAGAGCGCGTCCTTCGCGCCCGACGTACTCGTCCAAGACTGCTGGGGTGAAGTCTGTGTTCAAGGTGTTCCCGAGGTTTTTTTCCGCTTCTTTTCTACTGAGGAGCTACCTATGGGATACTGGTTCATGACGGAGCACCAACTACCCGCAACACTTGATCGCGGGAACTGTCTTTAATTGTAATGTTTGACTTCAATCCAACAGTCTGACATGTGCGTGTCACAAAAACAAAAAAAGGAGAAGTTGTGCTGATTGTGTTCTCATTAAAACGAATTTTAGCCACACCTCTTCAGCACAGACCAAGCCTCCCGCTATCCACCTAGACGTTTTTGAGATTCTGAATGAGATTCAGATGCGCAGTGCACCGATGGATCACTCAACAATGAAGGAAGCGGTCGTTGGATGCGGACCTATCGCCACTGGGGCGCATTACGCAACCGCGGCCTTCGTGCAAGACATTTTCTATGAAGGGCCAGCTGTCAGCAATCCCCTCTTGATTCCTGGTTTCTTATGTTCCTCTGACTCACGTCAGCGACTAGGAAAATATAGATATTGATCCAGCTTCTGCCAGCGCCTGCTAGCGTCCTCCATCGCCTACTAACGTGTGCCAGCGTCTTCCAGCGCCCACTAGCGTCTTGAGAGTCCAGAAAGTGTAGGTATCGATCTAGCGTCTTGCCGGCGTCCGGGAAGGAGAATTTGGCGAAATAGGAGATAGCAGACAAGCGTACCCTCTTCATCACGCCATACTCTTCTCCCGGGAAGCTGGTGCACACTTCACACACTGGGAGACGCTAGATCGATATCTATACTTTCCAGGCTTTCGAGACGTTGCTGGACGCTGGTAGGGTTGGCGCATGCTGATGGACGCTGGAGGATCTGGCAGGCGCTAGATCGATATTTATAACTTTCCTAACCGCTGACGCTGCTGGATGCTGATGGACGCTATCGGTGGTGGATGCTGCCGCGAAGTATGGACGCAGCCTTAGAAATCAGGACACAAATTTTATTCCATACAGAGAACCTGCTAGATGGGTGCTCGAATCATTGTAAAGAGGTCCCTCAGCGGGCAAGTTAGGAAATAAAGAAGAAAATCGCAAGAGTGGCAGGACGTTGTTTAACCCACGATACTTTCGCTTCGCTTTCGCCACGCTCGACCCTCTGATTGTGAGTGCAATATCGGGATGGATGAAGTAGCAGCGTCAGTACGATCCACTCGAAAAAGGGGAGCCTAGAGCACTGCTAAATTCGCCCCTGACACTGCAGTGGAGCGGGTTATTTTCGGGTATCCTTCCTTGGATGGTAGGGTGGCCATTTTTCGGACCACTGCTGATTTCCGAGAAGGAGGGTATTCGTGAAAGGAGAACCGGCACCTGTAACCTCTACCAGATTTACTATGTAGTTGTACAAGAGCTACCCTAAATCTTTCCCAGTATGGGAAACTTCTTTGGTGGGTTTTACATGGACGAAGTGAAAAACACTTGCAAGTTTTTATGGTATGAGTGGCCAGAACTTCCTTGGTCATTTCAATCATTTGCCGGATCTGAAAACGCTATTGAAAGGTACAATTTTTTCCTAAGAAGGGATCGAATTGCCCTCGCTTTGTCTCGTCTCGCTTGTGGGTGGGGACTACTATAGGTGCATTTGTATCAGACGCTGAGGTAGCTAAAAGGTACACGCTTGCCTATAGACTATGAATGCTCAGGCCGATGGGAGCCAGCGTTTCAGAAAAAAACATAACTTTACCAACTTTTGCTTTTGATGCTCTGCTCCTCCATGTACTGACTGAGCTGTGCCCTCTTCTGTAGCTGAAGCAGGACACATAAATAGTTGGGGATTTCGGTCGGACCAGTACAACCCCCCTTGTATGATGGCTTGAAACAACCCTTCCCTCCCTTCCCTATCCCCCATCATAACTACCACTTTCTTACATTTCCCCAGCTTCTTATTCGTTTTTCCCGGGAATTTCCTGATAACTTTCCCGGTTTCCCTGAAAAATAAGCGTCATTCATCCCGTGAGGGACATGTGTTGGTAGATAACTATGGCAGTCGTTTATTGGAGTCGACTGCTCGGTTGTATGGTTCGTGGTAGAATGCTAACTCTATCTAGGCGTGCCTCTCAATACAGGAGAGGTCACGCATCGAGTATCTTACCGTTTACCTACGGGACACAATCGCATGTCTTAATATTGCCTATGGCTTACATCTATCAATCAGTTACTCATAAAGGGTGCGCCGGCAGGTTCTGGTGGCAATCCAGAACACTCCGCGGGGCAAAAAGGGGAATGAAGACTAAAATATGATAACAATGTGGAGGTATATCACAATAATGACGAATGACTTAATTATGGGTGGCCTAGTAGGCTTTGATGAGCTTAGTAAAAGTGGATAGAAGAACGTGGTGTTGCTCGTCTCCAATTGTGCTCGTGAAGCTTGTGGGCGCTGGTGGGGGTTGGCGGAGGTAGTTGAGGCAGTCATCTTTGGCGCATCGGTAGATGATGAGGTGAAAATGTAGTCATTATTCTATGATCTGCTATAGAAGAGCAATTATAAATTCGACCAAGCTATACCGTGGTTCTCGTGCTTGTTCACGGATTTGCAAGGATTCAATGATATAGATGTAGTTTGGATGATTTCGCCAGCATTGGAATGAAGTAGAGGTGAAATCATAGAGATTAGCGTGGTGTACTCGTAAAGAGGACTGTTTATGAGATTTGAATAAAAGTTTCACTATAATGATGAAAATAAGATGGTGACCGTATTGAAATGCATATTGTTTACTTCCCTGGGATATCCCCGCTTTCAGCCGGACAGTGGTTAATGAATGGCATTAACTTTTCTAGCCATGGCAAAGGCGACCTCCCTTTCAGCGAGTCAAGGGCCTCCTTTGGCAAATGATCCTTTGCTGCTGATGAAAGTTTTCGATCATTTTTAGAATGTATGGTAGCGGCGTTTCCCATAATAATTGAGGGTTGAATCCTAACTGTGCGTTGTTCTGCTTTTTGCGGAGCAGATGCATTTGGAGCATCATTTTTGATCACCCAATGCATGTCTTAATATTGCCTATGGCTTACAACTATCAATCTGTTACTCATAAAGGGTGCGCCGGCAGGTTCTGGTGGCAATCCAGAACAGGATCACCGGTAGTCTCGCCGTCTTCCAAGTCGTCGTCTTATGCGGAATGCAAGATATTTACATTACTGGAACGGTTTTTTGTGAAGGAGCAGAAGCTGTGGAAGGAGTCATTTGATAGGATGAAATGCCATTTGACGCTGCTCCAATTCATCGATGATGTAAACTTACTAGTGCAGTTTTTCGCTGGTAGTCGCACTTTTCTACCAAGTTCCC